AAATAATCTTATGTGTGGATGATTTTAATAGCTGTCTAGCATGTCTTCCTGTCTCTAGTTCCTTTTTACTTCACTCTATTATATTTCCCTGCGGGACTGATCTTTATGAGAAACCATATTGGTCTTCTGTCCAACAATGAGCCCAGTATTTCCCACTGTCAGAAAATAAAGTAGTAAACACATAAAAATAAAACAATAAAAACTTTGTTAAGTTCCCAGACCTCCAAATTGGCTGCATGTAACCTTTCTGACTTGATTTTCCTACATAAATCCTCCATGCCTACCTCATGATTCATCATCACCTCTAACTGCCTTAAGCTTTCCATTGAGGAGTGTTTTGTTTATTCACTTATTTGTGCATACAGCAATGCTTTTGTCCTGATCCACACTGGAACACATTAAATCGTATCTCCATAAAACTTTCCCAGACCAGACTGAAGACAGAATGAAGAGTCCCTTGCCTCACCGTTGCCCATACAATTCACTCAGATCCACTACGTAATGTGTAGTGATATTTCTTCAGTATTGTCTCGGTTTACAGGATCATTTAATTTTTCACAAATTTGTCTTCTTTAAGTTCCCTGAGGGCAGGGACTATTTGTTACTCCATGTTATATACAAAAATTTATATGTAATCAGTATTTGTTTATTTGACTTAGTTTAAAAGGCTGAGTTTTCATAGCTAAAGATTTATCATTATGTTTTTCTCCACATCTTTTCCATAACTTATATATTTCCTATTGTTGCCCTAATGTATTTTCTACACTCATTAGGAGTCTACTATTTACAGTGTATTTTCATAAATATGCATTTTGTTATTCCATTATATTGTAAGTATTTTGATGCCAGGTCTGTTCCTCCTACTTTGTAGCTCCTGTTATACTCTGAGAGTAGAACACAGGTTAGGTATTTTGTAAATTTGGGAGAATGGTGAATTGAACTTCCAACTAAAGGGCCAAGGTGTTTTGGCTGTCAGGTACCAAAGCAAGTTATAAGAGAGATAATAATGCAGAATGTCACAATAAATGCAGATAATAGATCTCAGGCTTTGATACATGTATCTTTATCTTAAAGGTATGTGAAGTTTCTTGAGAGGCAGTTTGAAGCACTGAATGTATAAAGAGATTTCTCTGGAAAGAAGCCCTGCTGTTTTACAAGTTATACAGCCCCCTCAAGTTTTCAGTGGAAATCTACATTTCAGCCCCAAGCAGAGTGACAGTGGCTGCAAGGACAGTGAGGAAAGAAATCATTAACTTAGACTAGACTCTCCACCTCCTTGAGGAATATAAAGATGAAAGACTGTGGCTTATAATCTAAGGCGGGGAGGAGGGGGAGAGAAACTGTTACGCTGTGCTGGAAAGCCAGTAAGCCCCTTCAAATATAGGTCAAAGGTACATGAGTCCTGAGGCCCAGACTGGAGACCCATGGCAAAAATAATAGCAGTCAGTGGTCCATGTAAAAGGGAACTTTTCTAGCAGGCCTGTATCAGATGAGAGAACACCAACAAAAACAGTTGGTGAAGAAAGAGTAAGTGCCAGTACACCAGTGACCAAGAGCTGAGGGAGCAGGGAATGTGGGAGCAGGCAGCCTGCCTCACAGGTCCCTGGAGGGAGTCTCAGCTAGAGGCTCCAAGAAACTTAGAAAAATCAACTTGAAAAGCCTTCCAGGCTCAGAGGAAATGGAACATCACCAGTCAGGCCAAAACTTCCTGAACCTCTTTCTTCTTCTCTTCTCCACAAACTCTAGTCTTCTAGGATTCAGAACACTTAAAAGTATGGAGGTGAACAGAAGTATGGAATAAAAGTACAGAGGAACAGAAAATGAGGGAGAAGCCTTCCAAGTCTTCCCTCAAGACAGCTTAAAGTTGACCTAGCAGACAAAGAAAGAGGATTTCTTTAATTCTAAATTGCACTGAGACATATTTTTGTGACTGGCCATTTTAATTATTGTGAATCTTTCAAAATTTATCATGAATCTATTATCTAACAATAATCATAAAATTCATACAGTCTCCTGGAGATTTTATCCAGAGGGAAAAAATCTCCACTCCATTAACTATGTTAACTATAGAGTCATTTTGATTATACCTTATGAGTTGTTCAATATTCCTCTTAATTAAATACTCATTTTTTGTTTTCAAAATCCTATAAAAATTAAAGTAAACTATCTTCTAATAAAAAGTTTAAACTCTTAATAAAGTCAGTTAAATAAACCTTGCATTTCAGTTAAATGAAACATTCCTTTAGAGCTAAGCTTTATCTGTAATTTTTAGGTAAGTTCTCTCTCTAAGGATGATTAAGTAATAGATTAGTTCACTTCAGTTCTATCCTTTCTATTCATCAAATATGTTAAAACACATACCCTTAGCACTGTGCAGGCACTGTGGGAGACACTGAAGAGGATTATGGTACCTTCACTGCTTCCACAGAGCTTAATTTTGAATTAATAAAGGTTGTATCAAAGTAACTTAAGTATTGGAAAATATCAGTACAATAGGGTCCAATCAAGTGCCTAAATATATGGCACATAAATGGCAGTATACAAAGATTAACATTGATTAAATGGATCTAAGAATATACACAGTAAGAGTGCTTTGCACTTCAAATCAGACTAAATGCATTATAAAATATTTATTATGTTAGAAAGATCATTAATTCAAAAAATTAATTACCAAATGCCAAATATGAGCAAGCACCAAATATATTAATGAATAAAACAGACATTTTCCCTTTTCAATGGAACTCACAATCTAATGAGATTCTAGAGTATTATGCTGTCTATGTAAATATCTTGATAAACAAAATTATGCAATTTATGGACTATCTATGCCTGCACTTTCTAGACTGTCTCTTTCAATGACCACAGCACTATTCAAACTTTTTCAATATAGGGTAATTCTTTTGGTTATTTTTCTTAGTAATGGCCAAAACTTACAGAGAAATTTACATATACTAATGTTATGAGCATACTACATGATTTAATTCATTTAATCTTTTTAAAAGACTTGTGATATAAATATTATTAACCCCATTTTGTAGATGAGGAAATTATTCACCTCATTTTGTAGATGAGGAAATTGAGGAACAGAAAGTCAAGAAAACCTGCTCAAGATCACAACTAGCTGGAGTTCAGATCTAATACTGTCAATATAGGATCCTTGCTATGGTTTAGATCTAAAATGCACCTCTCAAACCCATGTGTTCAGAGGTTGGGCTTTTAGAAAGTGATTAGATCATGAAGGCTCTAACTTCATCATCATATCTCATCAAGATATGAGACCATAGTTTCACAGCATTATTAGAAGATGATGGAGACAGAAAGTGGGGCCAAAATGAAAGGAGTAGATGATGCAGTTGTGATCTTGGGGACTATATTTGGTCCCAGGCCCTTCCTCTCTGGATCTTTCCCTTTATGCCCATTTCCTGGTTCTCATGAGATGAGCAGCTTCTGTCTTACCATGGGTCTAAAAGCAATGGAGTCTGGAAACCCTGGACTGAACCTCTGAAACTGTGAGCCAAAATAGACCTTCCCTCCTCTGAGTTGTTATTCTCAGGTATCTTGACATAAGAGAAAACTAACACAAGCCTTTTGACTAAATTTTGTAAAACACACATGTACACATTGAGTTCAATGGGAAAATAAGACACACAAACTAGTAAAACAATAAACAAGAATGGACTAAATTATCAGTTAAAAGAACAGTATCACACTGGATTTTTAAAATTTAGTTTGTTTAGGGTCAAATTGTAGAAGTCTTGGCAATTTAGACTTTAAACTTTCTAAACTTCAATTTCTTCTGGGAAAAAGAACTCAGAATATCTGCCCTGAAACTTCAGATACTGCTGTGAGTACAAAGATAATAATGTGGATAAAGATGTTGGGAAAATCACAAACTGTTCCACATGTTTCAATTTTCATTTTTACTACATATTCATTTGAATTTACCATATCTCTTACAGTGTTATATTTCGGCTTGTTATTTGATGAAATAAATTCTTTCTTTCTTTTTTTTTTTTTTGGTACCGGGGATTGAACTCAGGACCTTGTGCTTCCCAGGCAGGTACAGCACCACTGAGCTACATTCCTGGCCCTGATGAAATAAATTCTAGTAATTCTCTTTTAGATTTCTTTCTTTGACTTGGAATTAGGGAAGAATTTTACAGTGTGAAGTAAAAATTATAAGCAGGAATTTGTTATGAGATATTGATCTGGTGTTACACTGGAATTGTTTGGAGAGAAAGGAATTGGGGCCTTCCATTCCCTTAGAACCATTCCATCATAAGAAATGTTGAGATTTATATCTGGCAAACTTTGGTTTTAGGAGTTATGGAAAGGTACAAGACAGAAGGCAAAAGCACTATTTTGTAATAGAACAGAGTGAAATAGCAGGATAAAAATAGTCCACAATTATGTAATCATTTGTATCTAGGATCATTCCTAAGGGCAAAATTTCTTCTTTCCATTTTAATGACATTTAGTGTAACATGTATGTTTGACAATGGTAGAATGAACCACTCACTGTAATTGACATTATTTCTAAAGGATGAATTCAAAGTCTGCTGTGACTGCTCTTGTCTCCACAACACAGATGCAATGATATAATTGATTGTAGTTTTCCTCAAGAAATATATTCCATTACAGTCCTAAGCCAGCTCTGTACTTCTGGAAGATAAAACATGAAAATTGTGTGAAGTTTCTATTTATGATCTGAATATACATGATTTTCACTTATTGTTCCTTACTTAACAGGAATCCACTGTGAAGAAGACATCAATGAATGTTTATCAAAACCCTGCCAAAATGGTGGCACTTGTGAGAACTTGCCTGGAAATTATACTTGTCATTGCTCATTTGATAACATTTCTAGAACATTTTATGGAGGACAAGACTGTTCTGAGATTCTCTTGGGCTGCACACATTACCAATGTCTAAATAATGGAATTTGCAACCCTCACTTCCAAAATGGCCAACATGGATTCAGCTGCCTGTGTCCATCTGGCTACACTGGGTCACTGTGTGAAACTGTCACCACACTTTCATTCGAGGGCAGTGGCTTCCTGTGGGTCACAAGTGGCTCGCATACAACCCAGAGCTCAGATTGTAGCATTTCAGATTTCAGACTGTTCAGTCCATGGCGCTTCTACTTTTCTGGGGCAACAGAGACATGTTTGCAAAACTGGAGTTGCTAAGTGGCTACATTCACTTATCAATTCAAGTCCATAATTGGTCAAAGGTACTTCTGTACATTTCCCACAACACCAGCAATGGACAGTGGCACTCAGTGGAGGTGATATTTGCAGAGGCTGTGACCCTTTCCTTAATGGACAACTCCTGTAAGGAGAAATGCATCACTAGAGCTCCTTCTCCGTTTGAAAGTAATCAATCCATGTGTGCTTTTCAGAACTCTTTTTTTGGGTGGTTTACCAGTGGAAATGACCGGAGATGGTGTTGCACTACTTAACATCTATGATACAGCATTTGCACCTTCATTTGTAGGCTGTCTCCAAGACATTAAATTTGATTCGAATCATATTACCCTGGAGAACATTTCATCCAGCTTGTCATTAAATATCAAGGCAGGCTGCATGCAAAAGGATTGGTGTGAAAGTCAACCTTGTCAAAATAGAGGACGCTGCATCAACTTGTGGCTTGGGTACCTGTGTGACTGCTACAGGCCCGGTGCAGGCCCCAACTGTCTGAAAGGTGAGAGGAAGCTGAGCACCCAGGAGGGCTGTGCCTCTGGGCAGATCAACAAAAGACAGCCAGCCTGCTACTTCCTGTTGTGAAACATAATGTCCCCTTGCGATTCATGTTGCTATTTGTCCACTAATGAGGAAAAAGAAGAAAAGAGGTGATGTGTATTAAATTCTAGAGAGTTCATAGGACATCCGGGTTTCACTCAGACGCAGAAGTAAAAAAATAAGCAGATAGCCCTTTTCCAAATTGGTGTTGATAAAATGCTCTTAGAAATTTCACCATGCATTACATATCAGAGATTTATTGTAAATCTTATTTAAAAGAGAATCTTTTTTTTTTTTCGTACCTGGGATCGAACTCAGGGCCTTGTGCATTCCAGGCAAGTTGGCAGAACCACTGAGCTAAATCCCCAGCCCAAAAGAGAATCTTTTAGACAAAAAAGGCTTCTGCAGACTAAACTAGTCAGTCTCACATGCTAGCAGACTATCTTGTACTTAGTAGAGTCTCAGTAAATATTAACTTCCTTGCTCTCTTTTCTATGCAATTAATCCTTGTTCCAAAATCATGTTGCAGTTTATAAATTTATAAACCAGCAATTTTATTCAAAGGCATCATCTCTAGGATTGCCTGGAGAAAACAGATAAATGCCTCAAGGAAAATAAAAGGAAGAAAAGCATGTGAAAAGTAACAATGAAATTTGGTAAATGCCATAAATGAATTGATCTGATTTCTCTAGCAAATCATACTTTGAAATGTATTTCAAAATCTTTTATTTTGAACATTCACTCCAAAGACAGCTACTGATAGTGATCAATATATAGTCTTATTATCATCATCATCATCATCATCATCATCATCATCATCATGCATTGAAAAAGCCTGAGAGGTTGTTGCAATTGACTGCTTTGAAGTTCAGGTCTAATTTACTCCAAGATTTCAGAACAACATGAAGTAGGGCAACATCTGGTAAATAGTCTTCTCTGCTTTATATAAAGTAAAATTAAAACCAGTCTTAGCCCATACCCTACTCCATGTTCAAATGGCTAAGCATTATTAGAAACTATTCACGAGTTTCTCCCTGACCACAATATTCATTACAAATCATGGACCTGTTTGACAATGAGGTATGACATCTACTAGCTCTATGCAATATTTTAAATGGAATGGCAAGTTGTTTTGTGATTTTTTTTTAAATAAGAAAGGGGGAAATTATGCTGAGGCAATAGTTCACTTTTTGAAGAAAAATTTAATTGACCCAAGGCAATATTTTTACTACATATACAAAATAACAAACAGATGCTGACTTATTTTGACTGGCTTCCAGATGCAGTGACCCATGAGGTTAATACTGACCATGGTGATGCTAACTGTCCTAGTAAATATATTCAAGAGATGCCAACCAAGTGTGTTCTGGTTTTCTTTAGTTCATTTTTCCCAACTTGGAAAAATATGAACTTTTTAAACCAAGTTCTTGAATTGGTTACACTTCCTTACTGTCCCCAGTACCTCTATATGATTTGAAACTATTTAATCCCCATGAGAATGTTTGGCTTTAAGAAATTATAGGGAGTGAGTTTTGTAAAATACTTTCTTTCTGAAAATTCTTCGGATAAGTTTAAGAGAAATTCCATTTTTCATATCACCTCTTGGTCATAAAACTAAAATATTCTGCATTGGCTGTTATCTATGAAGAATGTTTTCTGGAAGTCTATTCCCACTATAAAACATGCTTTAGTGCAGTAATGAGAACTTGAAGCTGCTGTTGCTGCACACATATATTCAAGAGGGAGGAGATGTACTAAAAACCACAAAGAAAAACCACCCAAATCATGATTTTGGCACAGTGCTTCCCAATCATGGCACATACTGCAAGGAACAAGTAGAACAGGATAGAAGATTTAGTTAGCTGACTAAAGACAGAAGACACAGGGATTTCCAATATCTTGAATTTGACCTTGCTAAAAGCATCCAAACTCTCAAGTAGGACAGTTCTGGGAAAGGTTTCCCTAAGCATTACCCACAGAACTGTCTGCAAGTTTATCTCAGCACGTGTTGTGTTGATTGCATACAGAAACGTGAAGTGTCTGAGACATCGTTCAGATTTGTCACCTACCTTTTACACTCTGGAAAAATATTTGACTTATAAACGTAATCTACATATGTTTTACCTTCAGTTTTACACGTAGAGTTTGGGAATTTTATATTAGAATTACAATTTCACATATATAGAAGAGGCTTCATTCCATTCTGTGGCTGAAATTTTCACACTACTGCACCTGCCTACCATAGTGATCCAAACCTCTGCTTAGACATCTTCATGAACGCAGAACTCATTCAATCTATCTTGGAAAAAAATTCCAAATAGTTCTTTTGTTATATTTAAATGAAATATGATTTGCACAAATTTCTCACTCATTTACCACATTTTAATTCTTGAAGATGTTCATATAACTCTTAACATCTCTTTTCCTTGAGAATACTTATGTTTGAAAAAAGTATCTTGCTCCACCCAACCCATCACTTCTATCATGCTACACATCCCAGCTTCTTCTACTCTTTCCATATGACAGTCTTCAGACCCCTCTGTACCTGCTTGCTGGCTTTGGAGTATTTGGATTATTTGCTTATCTGTCTTCTTTCTGAAACATGGTGTCTGGGTATACTTGATGAGAAACAGTGGCACAGGATCATAACCTCTCTTATTCCATACAGTGTGCCTCTGCTTTGCAGCTTAACATTACACTGACTTTCTGGCAGTCATATCACACAGTTGCTTCACTCTGAGTCATTTTCACTCATGATGTCATAGAGTCCTGTTTCTCCCACCCTAAGCCCATGAGGCACATTTAGATCCAAGTGCCTTTTATTTACTCTCATTGAATTTCATCAACTATTAAAACTTGTCAAAATTGTTTTTCACTTTTTATGTTACTCATCTTTAGGACATATCAATGACATGTATGAGAATCATTCCTTCCATGTCTACAGCTTAGTCCTCTGTGGCTTTGGGTGTTTCTAAAATCATGTAGCACATCACACACTCTGACTACCTGCGTGTGATTTCTGAAGAATAGGATTACTGGAGAGTTGGGCTTTCAAGGAAAAGAGAAAACAGCTCTGTGTTCTGTCCTTTAATGTGAATCCACAAAGTAATCCTGCAGGCATCGTATGATGACCAGCAGGGCCTCCCCTCCCGGAGGTTGAGTGATTCTGTGTATATCCTCAAACCTCAAGGGCTTCAAGAGCCAAATTTTCTTATTAAGCATTTTATCTCATATGAAAGTACTGCAGTGTATTCAGAAATGTTAACCTCTTCAAAGGGGTTATATTATCTAACAGTACACTTTGAAAACTACCTGTACTTGCCTGGAGCAGGTGGTCTCTAAATGGAGATTCAAAATGCAACATTACTGTAGGAAATCAAGTTAGAGTTCTGAAAAATGTAGCTGTTTATGCAGGAAGTCTTCAGACATAGACGGTTGTCTAAACAAGTTTCACTATAGTTCAGCTAAATGAAAATGTGTCTTACCTTTGCCCACACTTCAGCTGGACCATATGATGGCATTTAAGTATAAAAGAATATGCTTTCTGATTTCTGATTATGACTGAGATAAATCCTAAAGACAACAATATCTGTAAAACATGGTCCCTAGATTGCAAAATTCAATGGTCAACTCAGCCCTTTCTTACAACTCAGTAACTGTTAACACAGTTGAATGCTTTATTCTCCTGAAAACTCTTTCCTCCTTATGCTTATGGGCTGTCCCTGTGTCAGGGTTCTCCTCTTGTTTTACTGGCTGCTCCTCCATCATCTCCTTTGCTTCCAGTTGTACTGTGTTGAAGGTATCAGTTCTCGTACCTCTTGTGTTCTCTGTGTCTCTATATTCATTCTTGTAATCTTAGTCTTGTCGCTAAAGTCCCTTCTATGCACTGAAAATTCCCAAGTTATTAACCCAGTACCTCTCATTGAACCTCTGGGTCAACTACCTATTAGTCACCACCACATGGATATCTTCTAAGGCATCTCAAATAAATATAAATTCCCACCCACCCCCAATGTGTCCCTGTAGTTTTCTCCCTCATCTCTACAAATGGAAACCTCTTCAAGGTTTCTAGGTGTTTGGGCCAAAAAGTCTTGTTTGTTCTAGAAAATTCTACTGGTGCTACCTTCAAACTATTTTGAGAATCTTATCACATCTCACCACCACACACTAGCACTGCACTAAGTTGTCATCATTTGTCTCTTGAATTACTACAGCCCTGTTCCTATTTTCTTTGGTTTTTGCACAAATGTCATTTTCTGAAAGAGTTCTTTCCTGAGTTTTCCATTTAAAATTACAACTCCACCTTTAACTTCTAATCTTCCTATTTACTTTCTCTTCCTAATTTGTCTTATGCCAAGTGATTACTTACCTCCTTGCATATTATATTGTTTGTTTCTTTATCTGGTGTGTCTTCCCTCAACTGGAATACAGTATAAGCTTCTTAAGAATAATCATCTTTATTCCTACTATATCACCAATGATTTTAAATGTCAAATTTCATTTTTTCACATCTCGGGGGTTCTTTGGAGATAATGCACATGGATAGTATTTCCACATCCATGTAATCCCGACTGTTCTGACCACAGGAAATGCTGGATGGGTTCAGTACACTGCTTTCTCCATATTTCTCTCTCTACAATGCCTCTCCTTCTCCCCAACCAGGACCACAAGAGAGTCCTCCTCTTCTTTTTTTTATGCTATATCTTTTATTATGTGGGTTTCATCTCTAAAGAAGATTTCCAACTCTAGTTCTGAATTTTTGTCCTTTTCCAAAAATACTTAGGTTTAATGACATGTCTGCTTCATGTCTTCCAACTGGCATATATGACTGACCAAAAAAGACTGTTTGCAGATGTTTCATGAAGTGTTCTTGCCCCTAAAACTTCTTCTAGCAAATTGCATTATTAGGTGTCTGAAATTTTACCATTTAAGATCCAGTGTTTTACAGCAGTGATGGGGAAGTTCTTTAGTTTATCAGTGCAGAAACATGGTGTTTTTTGCTTAATGAACTTCAACCATAAAGTATAAACCAAAATGCAGGTATTTTAACTCAGAAAATGAGTCCAAATTGCTATTATATTGAATCATTCTACCCTGAACTTGAAAAAGGGTGTAAGAGTGTGTATGTCTATAAAATGTTCAGGTTCTGTCCCTTCTTACTTTTGAGTCTTAAAGTGTTTCATTTTTATTTAGCCTCAATTTCAACACTGAAGAGTATGTGGCAGGCAGATTTGGCCAGGACGACTCTGTTGGATATGCTGTCTTTAAGGTTGATGAAAATCATGGACAGAACTTCAGCCTCTCCATGTTTGTGCGAACACGTCGACCATCAGGCTTCCTTCTAGCTTTGGAAAACAGCACTTATCACTACCTTCGTGTCTGGCTAGAGCACGGCAGACTAGCATTGCTGACTCCAGGCTCTCCAAAGTTTCTCGGAAAATTGGTTCCAAATGACAGAAATGTCAACTTAATATCTCTGAAAATCAAGCCAAGTAAAATTGAACTGTATCAGGCTTCACAAATGCTAGGATTTATTTCTGCTCCTATGTGGAAAATCCAAAAGGGAAATGTCATCTACATTGGTGGCCTGCCCTACAGGCAAGAGACTGAAGTTAATGGTGGGTCCTTCAAAGGCTGTATTCAAGATGTAAGATTAAACAACCAGAATCTGGAATTCTTCCCAAATTCAACAAACAGTGCATCCCGCCATCCAATTCTTGTCAACGTGGTCCAAGGTTGTCCTGGAGACAACGTTTGCAAGGTAGGATTATTCATATAACTATGTACATATTGTATGCTAGATTACTGTTTTATGAGATATACAACTTATTAAAACAAATTCTTTGTACATAATGTCACAAAGATGCAGTCACTGACCCACCAACCAAAGGATAGCATTTCATCTATATGTTCCCAGAAAGACAGGGATTTACATTGAGGCATAAAAAGACAGCTTTGCTCTGGCATCCTGGTGTATCAGACAACCAAAATAACTCTGGTTACATGCTTCTCCTACCACCACAGCAATCAAATTACTTAACAAGAATAGTGTCTTAATTCCTAAACTCTAATGACATCCAGAGTTTTAACTCAACTCTTTTGGGAAGGTCTCTTTATCTTGGATGCCCAGCTCCTGTTGTTTTAAACTTGTGTTCAGTCAAAAAGGATAAAAAAATCTGAAAGGTAATTTGGATTTAAAATCCTCTGAAATATAATTTTCAGAGCACTTTTTTAACTTTACTTCCTTTGTATCCTCTTCTAAGAGGTGCCTTAAATACATGAAATTGTCAGCTCTGCGGGAGCTTTCAAAGGAAAACAAGGGAACATACTGTACATGTTGAACATTTGTTGAGCTCCAAATGTTGTCGTACCCTACACTTGGTCCTAAATAGACACAAATGAATCACTGTGACATTATTTTGGAAACATTTCTAATGTACCTGACACTACTCCACAAGTATCAATCCATTTAATTCTGTTTCAGGACAACTGTATAAAACAGGCATTGCCATCACTATGTTATTTACAGATAAAGAAACTGAAATTTAGAAAGGTTCTGTGAGGCTGGGGTGTAGCTCAGTAGTACAGCACATGCTCAGCATGCACATGACCCTTGATTCAATCCCAGTACAAACAAAACAAACACCAAGAATAACAGGTTTCTGTAACTAGCCTACATCATATGTTAAATAGTAGACCAGTGATAAATACAGTCCAGGCTCTAAGATTTCTTTGGATTTCTTTTATTTTGAATACTTTGTAAGGGGCCTTGGAAGAACTGAAATAGTAATAGTATGTCTCTGATTCATAGGCAAAGCAAACAACGAGAGAGGGCATGGAACTGGGACCCAGAGGAATTAGGCACCAAGCTTCACTATTTCATTTCTTTATAGGACCTTCAGCAACTGGAGGGACCTCAGCTTCCTCATCAGTAAAAACAGGAATAATAATTCCTACCTCATGTGATAGTGCATGTGAAAGTGCTTAATAATTTGTAAATCAGAGAGCACTGTTATACTTCAAAGATCTTTCTTGTGTTATAGATGGATTTTATATTTTCTCTCTCCTCCTTTTTCTCTCCTCACCTCCTATCTCTAGCACCCATTTCCCAGCTTCTCCTTTAGAAAACTGCTGACAATGGCAGCAGTCAGTTTAATTTGATATAGTTAACAGTGTATATCAAAGTTTACAATCTAAGGATGTGGGGAAATTGGTATTTTTAAAACAAAAGATGCATGCTCTTGCTCTTCATATTTCCATGTTTAGTTTCTATTGCTCTTTCAAGCTTTTGATTTCTCTTCTGCTCAGTCCAACCCCTGCCGCAGTGGTGGTGTCTGCTATACCCTGTGGGACAACTTCTGTGCCTGCTCTGTGAACACAGCTGGGAGAGGCCGTGAGGAATTCGCTGGTGTGAACTCAGCCCCTGTCCTCCCACTGCCCACTGCCAACTGGTGCCCCAAGGCTTTGAATGTAGGTAAAGTTCAAAACTATCACCCACCCAATTAAGTTGGCATATTTCAGTTGTTCAAAAAGAGATAGTAAAAAAAGAATACAGACACAGTCAGCTTTTTGAAGAAATTTGTGTTGTTTCCCTATGTGAGTGTTCTGATAAACCTGGCAGAATAAATAGTACAATGGCCCAGATAGGTCTCTTGCCTCTTCCTGCCCTGAATGTCTGGATGGAAAATTAACATTGGAACACAAAACCTAGATCCTTGGTTATTTGAAGGTAACGTGTGAAGAATAAGCAGGTGAGACTTACCTTCCCTTTCCTCATGACTGGGAAATATGCTGGTATTAACATTGCTGCCATTAATTAACTATGAAACTTGGGTAATTCATGTAACCTCCTTAAGTAATCCAAAGATTTCTCTCCTATAAAACAGCCTGAAAATATCACTTTGTAGGTTTCTTTGTGATGATAATATACTATTATGCATATAATCAAACAGGTTAGGCACCAGGTTGAGGTTTGCCATGACCATTTCTCTCCATGTGAAAGATTTTCCTCCTCCCTTCAGTACTCAAACACACAATTTCTCAAATGTTAGCAATTTGAATATTACATTCATAATTTTGACATATTCACATACTAGCCATGCTATCATTTTTATTGTCTTCTCTTCTACTTCAAATAATGCACAGCTTAATCAATAGAATCATTCTCAATAGAGTCTAATACTTTATTCACTTCTCCACCTCCTCACCAGGCTCCAACATACCATCATCTCCTTCACCTTCACCTCTTTTCCACCAGAGCTTCGCAGGTTCTCTTCATCCCTGCACTCAAATTTCAGCCCAAATGTCCTCCCATGTGGCTTTTCTTTATATTTTTTACCACTCTCTAATATTGTTACATGTATACTGGTTTATTTGCTTATCATTTCTTTCCTTAGTGGAATATAAGCCTCACAAGACAAGGATAATATCTGTGTGGTTTCTCAAGTTACTATTATACCGTACACTGACAATAAATAAATGAATAAATTGACTCATTTTTCTTCAAAATAACTAAATATTTTTACTTAACTATTCTAGACATTAAGTATATCATCTGCTTACATTAAAAATATACATGAAATACCTTATTAAAACTCTGTCCTAAAATAATGGAATGGAACTTGAGAACAAAATGTTCTTTGGTTTTATTATCAACATTCTTCTTAGATCTGGCCCAAAGCAACTGAGGAAGACAAGGCATTTACTTTCATTTTTCTATATTTGAAAAAAATAAAATCTACAACAATCTTTGTGAAGCACAGCACATTGTACATATATTTGGAGAAATTCTCTATAGGAACATATATATGCTTATACTCATCTTTAAAGAATATATACTATATAGAGATAAAAATATGATATGTTGGCATCAAGAATGTAACCTGGTTTTTAATGTGGCACAGAAGTTTACTCAGTGGATTTATTTTTGTGGTGCTGAGAATCAAACCCAGGACCCAGTGCATGCCAGCGAGGTGCTTTACCGGTTAGCTACACCCCCTCCCTGGCACAGATTTTAATTCAACATTTTCCATTGTTCTACCTCTGAGATACTTGTTTAAAATGATTTATTAACTATGATTTTATTGTTCATCTTTTGACAGAAATACTAAAGTTGCTAGTCCCGCTTTGTTCTACAACAAGATTCAAATTATTCTGAACATTTTCACAGGGGAACAAAGATTGGGTTTCTAAAATCAGTGATAGCTCAAGAATGGGCAAGAGTGACTGAGTCACATGACACCTAAAGCAGCTTAGGACTTGAACACAGCCCCTATTCAGAAGTGTGCTGAATCTTTATTGCTACAGCATTGCTGCTATAGAAAGACTAGAACGTCTGTCACTAACCCCCCAAAATTCCAACACTATTCTTTTTAAAGTATGACTTACTTTAGTGAAGAGACAAAAATGTAAATCAATAGAAGGTTTGCAATAGGAATTGTGCACCAGTTTCCTGATTGCAGCTATGAATCTAGAATTTGTTTTTGCTTTTTTGGTACTTTTAAATTTATGCCATCTTACGATTGGATTGTGTTTTCTTTTCAAATAAAAAATATTGAGAAGATTAAGTCTAATAGAACAACATACTCTTAGAGTATGTCTTCATGAGTTTGTCTTCAGAACTTTAATCATCTGTATCACTGTATCTTATCAAAATTTAAAACTCACCGTAGACATAGGTGTTTATTATGTCAAAGCTCCAGAAAAAAAAGAGTTGAAAAATAAACATTGTGTGTATTGTAGTTTTTAACCAGATCACAAAAAAGTGACCTCAGTGTTTTCAGCAGAACTGGTGAAATAAATTTATATAGTATTTATATAGCAGATAGTTTACTGCTATGGTTTCTAATCATTGCTTCACTTTTCAAAATAAACGATGGAGTTCTTTTTTATAGACTATTTATTTAATACTATTTACTGAGCATCTACAATATGTCAGGCACTATTCTATGCATAAGAACTGAGAGATCCTAGACAGAAAAGTCTGTTCTCATACAGCTCAGATGTAGTGCAGAAATACAGTCAAGGAGCAAGTAAACAAGCAAAATAATTTCAAATAGTCACAGGAGCTGTTGAAAAATAATAGTAATGGTATAGACAGTGACTGCAGGGAGGAAATTATTTTAACTTGGACAGTCACAGAAAGCTTCTTAGAGAAGATGACATTGAGCAGATATCAGCATTGAGGAGGAATCAGGTATGGGAAGGCCTGGGGGGTGGATTTTCTGGATTTAAGTAATAGTAAGTTAAAAGGCCCTCTCTGGGAACAAGCTTGTTGTCTTCAGCGAAGAGCAAGATGTAACATGTGAATGAGGAAGAGAGTGGAAGGAAATAAATGAGAGAGTTAATCAGAGTCAGGTCACACAAACCCTGGTGAAGGTGCTGAGCTAAGAAGAGGCGGTTACGTTCATCCTCATGCCAGGTAAGGAAGAGCACTAAGGAGTAATCAGTCTACATGAAAGATGGCAGTCGCTGGCTGTAGTGCCAAAAAGTAAGCTAACAGCAGTGTTTTAAAGTCAGTTACTACTGAAGATGGGAAAATGAGAACAGTGAATCAACCTCTGGCTGTGTAATGCTGAGATCACTGTGACCTGAGAAGTGGTTTCAGTGAAGTGATTGCAACAAAATCCTGAGTGGCTTGTATTAAAATAAAATAGGAAATGAGAAAGTGAAGAGTGAGAATATGAAAGTATCAGAAGTTTAGATGATAATGAGAGTAGAGAAATAAAGCAGCAGGGTAGGGGGATGTCAGTGAGTGCTTTGGGATCGTGTATGTCTGTGATTTTTTTAAAGATTCGAAAAATTATAAAATATTTGTACATTTATAGGAAAAAAAATAGGGGAATGAAAATGTCGAGCACAGAAGAAAAAAAAAGATGCACGGAAGAATAATGCCTAACGGGTGCAAATGAACGGGACACAGCCATGACTGGGAGGGTGACCGCAATGAAATAAGGACATTGCATCCATTCTAACAGGGCGGAAACGCAGGAGATCTGTACCTTGTCAGTTTTACAGGTTTCACAGAAAGCTAAGGCTGTTCTTATTTCTCTTATCTTCTCAAGAATGTATACAGGAGATCGTAGCCCAAGATGGGGTTGGATATTTTAAAAGATAAGACAAGCTGTGAATTAATGATCCTGTAGAATAGGAAAAACACTTTTAATGGAGAAATGCAATAAGATTGCCCAAAAGTGCTATGCTCCCGTACAGTGTGTGGGCGTAAAGTGGGAACAATTGACGTGGCTATTTTTTCCCAATCACATAAAGCTACTTGGTTATAGGTAGACAGATGGTAGCTTGGCATAGAATTGGAGTTTCACCAGGTAAGTAAATCAGTTATTTGGAATGCTACTTCTGCCTGCTGGCCAGCTTAATTGGAAGCCAGATTGTACTGTTAACTTGCTGCATCACCATAGCTAGATTTGTTTCATTGTGATGAGTTTCTTTATGTACAAAATGGATAATCGATGCCTTATTTATTGAAACAAATGAAAAATAAAATTGCAATGGCTTACGCTTTGAATGAAAAAGAAGCATAGAGTTTGGATTTTGGTGTCAGACAGTCCACTTTTAACACTCAGCTTTATTATTTATTTATAACTATCAGCAATAACTTAGCTTCTTTGAGTCTCAATTTCTTCTTTCACAAAAGGAGGATAATAATAATGCCTATGTTCAAGATTTCTGTACTAAAAATAATATAAAAGCAACTAGGACAGCACCTACTATAGCGCGTAACAGTCAACATATGATGTCATTAACATAATGATCATTATTATTAATACTGATATTAAGTACAATTATAGATTTAATAAAGTTAATAATTAATTATGCCTTCTCTCTTTAGGCGTTGGAAATGCTGTTTTGAATGGACAAAGCAGTGAAATATTGTTCAGAAGCAATGGGAATATTACCAGAGAGCTCACTAATATCACATTGGTTTCAGAACAAAGGATGCAAATGTGAGAATACTGCACACTGAAAATGAGCCTGCATTTCTTAATATTAGCATTCAAGATTCCCGATTATTTTTTCAGTTACAGACTGGCAGCAATTTCTATATTCTGCACCTGAGAAATCGGCAGGCAGTGAACGATGGCACGTGGCACCAAGTGACTCTTTCCACGACAGATCCATTGGCCCAGGCCTCCAGGTGGCAGATGGGACTGGACAACCAAACAGCTTTTGTGACCAGTGCAGTTGCTACTGGAAGCCTCAACTTTTTGAAAGACAATACAGACATTTATGTGGGTGACCGAACTACTGACAACAAGAAGGGCTTTCAAGACTGTCCAAGTACAATAGAAATTGGAGGCATTTATCTCTCTTACTTTGAAAATGTTCATGGTTTCACAAATAAACATCAGAAAGAGCAGTTTCTCAAAATCTCTACAAATTCAGTGCATACAGGCTGTTTGCAGTTAAATGCCTACTACTCCAACCCCTGTTTGCATGGAGGAAATTGTGAAGATCTCTACAGCTCTTACCGCTGTTCCTTTTCCTTGGGATGGTCAGGAACACACTGTGAACTCAACATAGATGAATGCTTTTCAAACCCCTGTATCCATGGCAACTGCTCTGATAGAGTTGCAGCCTACCATTGCAGGTGTGAGCCTGGATATGCTGGTGAGCCTGGATATGCTGGTGTGAACTGTGAAGTAGATATGGGCAATTGCCACAGTCACCAGTGTGCAAATGGAGCCACCTGCGTGAGCGACACTAATGGCTATTCTTGCCTCTGTTTGGGAAATTTTACAGGAAAATTTTGCAGGTGAGCCTAAAAGTCCATACCAAGCTTGGTTTTTGGACCTGTACCCTACATTTTCATTGCCAAATTGGAAAGCTCTCTCCTCAAGGTATACATATATATTATCCTAAACAGGGATTAGCTTTGGTCACTTCCATCACAGTTTGATGGTATAAAGACAAGATTTATTTTGCTGAAATGTCCTACGAGTATGGAGTATTTTAGCCAGACAGTAAGCACAGTGTTCTCTCAGTCACCATTGTTGGAATATGTCTCATGAATTAGGGCCCAGGGTCTGACAGACTAAGGCTTCAGGAAACTAATACATTTATAATACATTTACAATAAATACAAAAAACTGAATTTTAGCATTGTTAGGGAAGGCAGGACTTTTATTACTAAAATAATGCCCTGTTATTTCAGTCAGATAAATCTATAAAATCCTAAAAAGACTACATTACAGAATTATTTCAAAAAGGTAAAAT